TGTGGGAAAGTTTCAATCCCACAACTAAAGTACTTATGTGGCTTACTACATGGCCACCAAACGCAATGTTCCTGACAACGGAGCATCCCACTCCAACACCAATCGTTCGAGGGAGCAGTCACGAAGCCAAGAGCGGCATGCTTCTTTATCTTCCAGCCCAGGAAGACGCTATCCAGCCAACTAAGGTGTTTCAGGTCCTTCTATAGAAGATCGAATGCGTAGAATGGAGGAGTCTCAAGTAAAAATCACATGACTCCTATGCGGGGCTCAACAACCGCTGCCCACACCATTAACTCCGCGACGAACGAGAAACATATCAGATCGCTCGGAGGAACTCGTACCGACCCACCTCCTCAAGAGGGAACACATCCCCTGTCAAGTCGTGATGCTGAACTCCTAGATACCACAAGTTCCACTCATCCACCTCTTGCAGTTCATCCGACATCGCCACATCTTCCTACTATTTCAGATGATGTCATTCGTAATGAACTACGACGCCTCGTCCGGGAAGAGTTTCTACTAGAGAAAAAAGATCGTTTCTACACTCACCGCAACATACATGAATCCTCTCCCTTAGTGGATGCAGTCCTCCAACACCCCATCCCAACAGACTTCAAGCTTCTGAACATCAATACATATGAAGGGATAACCGACCCCTACGAACTTATTGATCATTATCAAAATCTCATGCACATTCAACGTGCCTCTGATGCACTTCTGTGTCAGGTTTTCCCGGCTACTCTTAAAGGGCTACTCTTAAAGGACAAGTACTCTTAAAGGACAAGCTCGAACCTGGTTCTACTCTCTGTCATGGGGCACTGAAAACACCTTTAATGAGCTTGCAAAACTGTTTGTGGAATAGTTCGTAGCAAAACGACGGATTATCAATGATTCATCCCATCTCTCGAGAATTCATCAAAGCGAAGGAGAATCATTGAAGGATTACTTCAACAGGTTTTCCAACTGAAGCCCGACAGATCTCGGGAGTAGATCCAGAGTTACTAAGAGGAGTTTTCCTTGGGGGCTCCGCCCAGGACCTTTCTACTCATCGTTGATGCAAAATACGGTTCATTCTTATGCTAACCTTATTCACCGTGTTGAGGCACAAATTTCTGCAGATGAGGCCATCATTGCTCACAAGGAACAATTTGAGCGATTGGGAGGCAAGCGCAAGAATAACGCTGGGGATACCAATCAATTCTCACAACGAAAAAAGTTTAGGCCACAAGGGAATCGTGAGCAACGATCAGAAAAAGAATACGCACCACTCAACACGTCACTTGTTAACATCTTAATGACAATCAAGGATGAAGAGACTGTCAAGTGGCGAAAGCTGTTAAGAAATCTATATGGTGGAGACCAGTCTCAATATTGTTATTTCCAACATGCAAAATGACATTCAACAGAAAAATGTTTTCAATTAAAGGAAGAAATTGAACGTCTAATACACAAAGGTCACCTAGGTCGCTACTTACAAGAATAATGTGAGGGGAACCAAAAGAGAACAGTTGGAGTTATCAAATGAGAAGTATAACTTGAACTCATATTGACTGAGTAAAAAACTGGCTTATAAAATTTTAATTTTATTTTAGCAAAAATTTTATGTTGCTTTAAAATATCATTTCAATGAAATTTTCTTATTTTCTTACTTATTTTTTCAATGAAATTTTCTTATTTTCTTACGAAAGATTTTTGTGTAGAAAGCCCCCTTGAGGATGACAAGCTACCATACCCCTAAAAGTTGAGTCCAAGAGGCAAAACTCGACGGGAAGATATGATACTCCTAAAAATCAAGCCCAAGAGGCAAGACTCAATGAGAAGCTTTCATACCCCTGAAAGACGAGCCTAAGAGACAAGTCTCGATGGGAAGCTAGTTGTGGATAGGGTCTTCACTAGAAAGACTCCATGAGAGCAAGTGGTTGACATGGTCTCCTCTCAAAGACCTCAGAAGGCTACAAGCCTCAGAAGGCACATGTACACTCAAAGACCTCAGAAAGCTACAAGCCTCATAAGACAGATATATCAAAGACCTCAGAAGGCTACAAGCCTCAGAAGGCACAGGTGCACTCAAAGACCTCAGAACGCTACAAGCCTCAGAAGGCACATGTACATCAAAGACCTCAGAAAGCTACAAGCATCTAAAGGCATAAGTACACTCAAAGACCTCAGAATGCTACAAGCCTCAGAAGATACATGTACATCAAAGACCTTAGAAGGCTACAAGCCTTAGAAGGGACATGTGCATAAAAATTCCTCAGAAGACTACGAGTCTCAGAAGAACTTTGTATAATTAAGAAGCCACAACAACCGTGGAAGCAACAAAAAAAATACATTGCTATCATCTACAATTGTCACATCAGATGATTAAAAAAGGCTACAATACCAACATATACATGTACAAGTGCTACAACAAATCAGTTCAACTTCAATTAGTGTCGGCATCACTTTCCAAAAATTACAGTATTTCTAGTGATCGTCAAGGGGTCTTCATATATCACCACCACATAAGCATGAAAATTCCCTCCTCATGATGAGGCGAGAAAACTACATCATTTTTTCATCACTTTCAGAACATGCAAGAACAACATGAGAATCTCCTTCGGAATATGCGACACTCCACCACAGCTTGTCACGTGGTCGCGACGCCCCTTTGCAAAAGCGTCGTCGCAACAACCCGCCACGACGCTTCGCCGCAACGTTTCGCTGTAACTCTTCACCACAATATTTTGTCACAACACTTCACCACAAAGTTTCGCCGCAACTCTTCACAGCAAAATTTCACCGCAACGTTTCGCTGCAACACTTTGCCGCAACATTTCGCCGCAACGTTTCGCTGCAACACTTCGCCGCAACATTTTGCCACAACGTGAAAGAAGATCTCATTGCTTGTCTGCTACGCAAGACGAGAATAACTTTTCTCTTTTGGGAAATCCTGAATCGCCTTCGAGGCAGGAACGGAGACTCCACATTTTTTCTCCTCTGCTTGGCCTATTTATAGGCTGAAAAACCTCCTCATATTCATGATAAAATTAATTAGATTCATAAAAAAACAGTTGTTTATTAAAAAAAAACTATTCATTTCATATTCCTTCAATTTTTTGACTTTTTAAATTCTGCTTTTATAGCTAAAATTAGTTAAAATTATTATTATTAATAAAAAAATTTGTATAATTTAATAAATTACTCTTTTAAACTCTATTAATTTACCGAGGCCCTTGGAATTCTTTTTAAATAATTAATTAATTAAATTCAGTTTGGCTTAGCTCTAATAAGAGCACATTTAATTTACCATGACCCTTCAGATCTCGTGGCCCGCTTCATTCTGCCGGTCCGGATTCCGCGGCCCACTACATGTTTCGACGGTTCCGGGTCTCAAGTTTGGCCCACTGGGTTCGGATTCAGGCTCTCGGGTCTCGAGTTCGCCGGTTTACAGACCCATCTAAAGATTTGATCCCACGCCACCTGCAAACGGCAAAAATCACATATCAACTGAGCTAGACTCAATTTGTTTAATTATAAAGGATAAATAATAAATTTGTATGCATACTAATAGTAAAAAACTATTTATACTTGAAGTTTTTATGCATTATAAAAATGAAAAGACTATAAATCTTAATATTTTTGGACGAAAAAAATCGTCTCGCCTGAAAATAGCGGGGCAACTGATACGTCACCAACAAATTTTCATCAGCCAACACAAATCTCGATGTAATTTTTTGAATAAGAAACTTTAAAACTTCGATTGAGAGTCATCCAGAGCTTCAATTTTAACAAACTTATAGTCAAATTCATCGGCTCGATGAGACAGACCTAATGATATGAAAGTCAGTCCAATCCAAGTAAAATCAAGCCCGTATCAAATCATTAAACCACTATTGAAGGATTTCCGGAGGCATTTGAAAGGTCAAACGGATGTCGAATCTAACGAGTTTATTGTCGAATCGAGCGTCTCGACAAGATGAATCCAACGAGCCCAAGTTGCTCAATTCCAACATCGTTAAGACACTCAAATGTCCATCAAACGTCATCTAATCAAAAGAAGCTCTCCGGATCGTCCGATCAAAATGACTCATATTTCTACATTAATTGCACTCAAAACACTATAAATAGAGTCTCATCCCTCTCATGAAGAAAAAAGAAAAAGGGAGTAGGCTTAAGAGAGAACTTGAGGTTTTGATAAGGAGCTCAAATCCAAATCATCCTTTCCATCATCGATTGCCGTCGACCACCATTGACTGTCGACAACCACCGCTGATCTCCGTTGACCACCGCCGATCCTCATGACCCTCATCGATTGTCGTCAACTATCGTCGATCACCGCCGACCTCCGTCAACCTCCGCTGACTAGATGTCGTCAGTTGAAGTTGTAATTTAGAAAGCTAGTAACCCTTTCCCACCTATGAGATAAGTGACACATATAATTATCAACTTATAGTGGATTTTTACAACTTGGCCAGACCCCGTGGTTTTTCCTTTTTACGGGTTTTCCACGTAAAAACTTTTGGTATTATCACAGTTTTATTTATTTTCATCTGAGTGTGTGTTGAATCCTTGCGCAACGCTGAGACGATAATCCATTACTCTACCACCGCGAATTTTCTAGCACGCATCAGGCTGTGATTTTAGCTCGAATATCACCAATTTCTCGAAAAGTGATTCAAAATTTATCTCTAATCAAAATGGGATAAAAAAACAGAGTTACAAACCAAAATTTTGGATTGAATTTTTCTCAAGTTGGTTATGAGCCCGCCTCGACTCGTCTTAAAATTGAATTGTAAAATGTTAAGATTGTGGATTTAGCTTGAAAATCGTTAATCGTTCCGAAATTTATTAAAATTATGACTTGGATCAAATTGAATCGAAATAAATAAATCAAGTTGAGAGCTAAAATTTTTGATCCAATAATTTTCAAGCTGGTATTGAGCCAACCCAAACATGGCTCAAAACCAAACCTTTAAAAAACCCGACCTTAGTCCAAATATATAAATCGTCACCTCATATTCTCTCCCTATACAAACCCCCCCCAAACCACCAACCGCTCGCTAAACTCATTATCAAATGGCAACTCTAAGCCGTCGCCTCCTCCTCCTCCTCCTTCTCCTCACTACCATCTCGCCGGCAGTATTCGCCATCCTGGCCAACTCCACTGACTTCATCCGCCGCAGCTGCGCCGTAACCCTCTACCCCCAACTCTGCTACATCTCCCTCAAACCCTACGCAAAAAACATGAAGGAGAGCCCTCTGGCACTCGCCATCATCGCCACCGAAGTCAGTCTGGCCAACATAAAGAAGTCAGCTTTGCAAGCGGAGGCTTTGCGGCACCACAGAACGGGGAGCGCCGGCGCCGCACTGCACGACTGTCTTGATCTGCTGCGCACCGCTGAGGATCTGACCAAGCAGTCGGTGGCGGAGATCCAAAAGCTTTGGCGGGCTGTGAAGCTCGGCGGGTCAAGTTTCTTTTGGGACGTATCCAACGCTCAGACGTGGATGAGCGCTGCTCTGACGGATGAAGACACATGTGTGGACGGATTTGAGGACGTCGGCGGCGCGGCGGCGGTGAAGGGGTTTATTCGAAATGTGAGGAGGGTGAAGAAGTATAGCAGTAATGCTCTTGCGCTGCTGAATGCTCTTGTGGAAGGTTGATTGTTTTATGAGACGTTCAACTGTTCCATCCAGAATTAGTTGATCGACGCGAACAAATTAGCAGTATTTTAATGTAAGTGAGTTGCTATTCTTACTTATAAAAGATTTTAAGTGTTTGAAGTTTTGACCTTCTCAGGTGATGGAGGGAGGTCTGTTTCTGAATTTTAAGAATTCTGTGGCATTGTTCTGTTTTGTCTTTTTTTTTTTCTTTTTTTTTTTGTTTGTATCGTACAAGTTAATGTGTTTATTAGTTTTTGATATGGAATAAAGTGGGTGAAATATACATAACTTTATATTTAATTTTGAGTATCTTGAGGGGGAAATTTCTCTTCTTTAATTTAAATTCATACATGAAATAGCAAGGTTTATCATCCTCAAATCTATATCAATATATTTTTGTGATTCAAATTTAAGAAATTCCCTCGATCACTAGAGATATGTGACGGTGTGGACTGTATCACGCGGCAGCATTTATTTATCATTCCCTCTTACTTCTTCATTATTTTTGGTCTCAAGCCGTTTTTCGGAAAAAAACTTACTCTTTGCTTTCCATTCTAATTAATTTAATTAGTGAACTTCATTATAATAGCTTTTGATTAAATTTCATATATACTCTATCTAAAACCATTATTTCCATGTTTTTTGTTTTTTGGGAAAAGTGAGAACAAAAATGTTGCAATAAAAATAATAGAAAAAAGAGAAAAGGATAGCATGTTGCCTCAAAAAAATGGTTTTTTCTAAAGTTGTCTTTAAACTAATTTTTATTTAAACAATATTCCAACCAAATTTATAAGGCGTTAAGAGCTTATTTGAGATCAATTTATCTTTTATTTTTTTATTAATTTTACTATTATTCGCTAAAAATAAATAAACTTCGTGCTAGAAAATTCGTGGCGGTAGAGTAATGGATTATCGTCTTAGCGTTGCACGAGAATTCAGCACACACTGAGATAAAAATGAATCGAGCTGTGATCACACCAGAAGTTTTTACGTGGAAAACTCGTAAAAAGGGAAAAACTACGGGGTCTGGCCCAGTTGTAAAAATCTACTATAAGTTGATGATTACAAATGCCCCTTGTCCCACAGCCGGGAAAGGGTTACTAACTTTCCATGTTACAACGTCGACTGATGACGTCTAGTAAGCGATGGTTGACAGAGGTTAGCGGTGGCTAACAACAGTCGATGACGGTGGTTGACAGAGGTCAGCGGTGATCGACGGCGTTCAACGGTGGTCGGCAGTTGTTGACAGAGGTCGGCGGTCGTGGTCGACGGTCAGTGGTGGTCGACGGCGATCGACGATGACGATGATGATCTTGGACTTGAACTCCTTCTCAAAGCCTCAAGTTCTCTCTTAAGCGTTCTCTCTTAAGCCTCCTCCCCTCATGTGAGGGGTGAGGCTCTATTTATAGTTTTTTGAGTGCAATTAATGCAGGAATATGAATCATTTTGATCGGACGGCCCGGAGAGCTTCCCTTGATCAGATGACGTTTGATGGACATTTGAGTGCCTTAACGATGTCGGAATTGAGCAATCTTGGGCTCTTTGGATTCGTTTTTTCGAGACGCTCGATTCGACTATGAACTCACTAGATTCGACATTCATTTTAACCTTTCAAATGCCTCCATAAATTCTTCATAAGTGGTTTAATGATTTGATTTGAACTTGAACTGACTCAGATTAGACTAGTTTTAATATCACTAGGTCCGTCTTATCGATCCGGTCAGTTTGACTATAAGTTTGTTGAAATCGGAGCCCTAGATGATTCTTAATCGAAGTTTGAATGTTTATTGTTCAAAGGATTGCATCGAGATTTATGCCGACTGATAAAAATTTATTGGTGGCATATCAAAACTTATTTTTCAAAATAGTCAAATTTTCTGGAGTGGTTTCCTGGGCTTTTAAGAATACTTATCATCACTAATTATAATTTATTTTAAATGAAATCATAAGTAAAATAAATTTAACATAAAGAACGAAAAACAAAACGAAAGTGATCCCCACCTTACCTAATGAAACGAAGAGGTGCAAAATTAAATACGATCGATAATATCGTCGTAAACAAAAAGGAAGGTTGATTGGGAAATTGCACCAAATTTAGTCTTTCTGTTTAAAGCCATCAATTTAATGAAGCATGTTCAGATGAAAAAATAGAAAGTTAAGTTAATAAGGGGTTGGGAGTGAATTAATGCTCCTAAATGAATAATCTTCTATTCTTATGCTGTTCATTTATTTGGTGCCCGTTTGGCCGTTTGGCATCATGTTTGTTTGAAGCTTGTGTTTTTATTTTCTTTATTTATTTATATAAATATGTTTCAATTATATAAGTTTGATGTATTTTTATTTTTTGTTCTTTATAATTAATTAACTTATGCTCAGTTGTATCAAAACCCCGCGCCCCCCAATTTCTATGTATTAACATATATCTAACATCTAACCTTCGTTGCATTTATATCTCCCAAATCTTTTATATCACATCAAAATTATCACAATTTTAAGTTTTAAAAAATAGAATACACCTTTTTATTGCATATGCAAGATGGAATAAATGTAAAAATTGAAGTTTCTGTTTTAGAAAAGTAAGTGCATAGAAATTGATTGGTATACATGTGAATCTTCCACTTTGAAAGTAATATATATATATATATATATATATATACTCAAATCAGTTGGTCGGACATCTACTTATCAGTTGTAAGTCCCTCTGAGTTGAGGTTCGATTGCCCCCGAGTGAAGAGTGTGGTCATTGAATTATAAGCGCATGAGAAATGACCAGACCTTGTATCATTCCCCCGAGTGAACAATTGCATCATATATATATATATATAAATATATATATATATGATGCAATTGGTTAATAAATGAATTCTGAGAAATAAATGTCAAGAGAAATTGGCTGGTAAACCAAAAAACAGAAACCGTTTTAAAACTACTCCTAATCGCGGACACCACTTATTATAGAGAAAAATGAAAAGTACATGTAGATTAAATGCAAAGGGCATATAGGTGATGTTTCCAGAATTACAAGAAACTGTAATTATGATTACGGTTCATTTGCATACATTTCACCCGGTATCTTATGTATTTATATATCTAATGTCTAAGCATTATTGTTTAAATTCATTCCATAAAAAATTTTCACATCACATAAGAAAATATCATCATTTTAAAATCTAAAAAAAATACATCTTTTCGTGCATAGGTAAGATAAGATGGCATATATGTAAAGATTGAAAATTAGTTGTTAGATATATAAATACATAAAAATTGAATGGTACGTATGTACATCTTGTCTATTATAATGTCATGACCATATATAGAATTTCTAGAACTTTAGGCTATAATTTGATTCATTATGAATGACATTCTAGCAAAGAATTGCAGAAAGAATAGATTTTCACATGCTTGTATGCATGGGAAAAGGTGGAAAACTAGTGTTGTGAAACTCCTTGAATAGAATGAAGTTGAACTCTTAAACATCGAGGGGTCATCCTAACATTATTAGGGTATTGAACTAAATGGATCAAAAAAACTGATATCAAGAACATTCAGAATTTGATTTGAAGAATAAATCATATTTACTTTTACCAAAAGAATAGAAACATATAGGTGCAATCTTGATATCTAGTTACTGATCTTAATTAGATAGAACAAATAGATTTTCAATTAGATAAAACCAAACATATTAATGGTTCATTAATCATATATATATGTATGAGATGTATTATCTAGAAGACGAAGAAAACAAATTTAAGGTTCACAAAATATTATGATGAAATTGGTTTTTTCTGTATTGAAATGCTCTCTTTATAATCAACAACCCACTAACATAAATGACTCACAGTTTGTTATCTATAAAAATTATGAATATAGACTCCTATCAATGAGACAAGTAAACGGATAGTCACCATTGACCCAACCAAATGAATGCCCAAATGCCGTCAAAGGTATCTGTAAGCCCATGGTTTGGCCACATTTGATCTATAGTATCAAAATTTAAGCACATCATCTCAAATATATATTTATATAAATCATAAACTATATAATTTTAAAAATAGTTTTAAATTTTTTTGAAAGAAATACAATGTGATTATTTCACTAGAGAAAGATAGCATAGACATTACGCTTTATCAAGTAATCATTTTTTAGCAATAATTCAAATAATTGCTAACCATTTATTTGATTTATAAATAAAATTCCAAAGAGTATGCTTTAAAGATAATCAAAATTATAAATTATGGTTCTAATTTACTTGAGAACAAAAAACTTAGCTGAATAATTTTCAAAAAGTAACAAATACTTATATCACAAATTCTACTTTATAAAAGTGCAGTCAAACTCTCGTTATTTGGATTGCATTTGATGCTTGCTTTAATTCACTAGTTGAGTTCTAAGAATACATATCATTGGAAGTTTCCATTGGTTAGATCCATGGAAGTGCTAATGACTGCTATTTCTCAGCAATTTTCTTTCTGCATGATCAAAACCTCGCAACAAAATAAACAAAAGTATGAGCCTACTCTTCAAAAAATTGTCAATGGTTGTCGAATGAATCTTAGTTTGAAATATGAATGTTGGTTCAAATCTAGTTCAAACTCAATTTGAATAAAGGTTCTAACAAAGCCGAGCCTGTTTGAGTTCGAGCTAATTTCAAAAACATTATTACTTCTATGAGGAGCTCCCTGATAGAAAGTTTATCACTCCTTGGAGATAATTAAGTTCTTTTTTTTTAGAATGGTAGAATTGTATAACATGGTTATTAATGATGATAATACTATTTTGAGGCTACTTAGAATGTGATGGTAATTATGCCATATATATACATATAGCCATACACAATAAGATTAAGTTATATCTAGATTATCTCAACATAAATGACCTAATTACTATAATAGTACATAGTTTCTTCATCAATACAATAACGCATTCCATGTAAGAGTAAATCAACAATAAATCCTTTATAATATCAAAGTTTCACAAACATATTACTCAATAGCATGTCTTTACATATTTAACACCTAAAATTAAGTTTTCAAGTACATACCACTTTACCTATGCATAAAAAAGATGTATCTCACTTTTTCAAAAGTTAAAATAGTAATATTTTTATGTTATATGAACATTTTGTATGATATAAATTCAAAAAAGTGAAATTTGGATGTTAGATGTAGATGTAAATACATAGTAATTAAAGCTATGTATGTAAAAGCAAATATAATCCATATAACTTTATTCTCAATACTATATATCGCAATTATTTCAAAGAAAATTAACCCAAACAACTCAAATATTAATAATCTCATAGACACGACCACACATTTAAATCACATATCCGCTAATTGAACTTAATCTGTCCATCGTAGATTTACCATCAAAAGGACAAAACTCATTTATTAATACACTCATAACATTATTAAGGTTTCCACATGACCACACATTTAGATCACATATATGATAGCTGATCATATTCTAAATTTGTCCAATGCAGATATACCATCAAGTCCTTTTGATCTAGAATAATGTTCGTATTCACTTACAACAACTTCTTTGTATTTAGGAGGATTTGTCTCTGATAATAGCTCTTTTATTGGGGCATAAGTCCTCTCAGATGGACAGTAATGTGTGGAGAAGAAACACGCAACAGAGATTCTTGGCCCGATTTTGCTTGTACGTACTCTGTGCTCAACGCTCTTGAATTTTTCATTAGTGATCAACTGTTTCATCAAAAATAAAAATAATCATTATATAAAAAAAATGTCGTCAAGCAAAACTATTTTATATTTTTTATCAACAATCATACTTCGATCCAAATGTGAAAAAAATAGATGTAAAAATTGATGTGTCTTCTCCTGCTTATTTCTCTTTTACCTGAGTGTTAAGATGCTAAATAATGACTCTACTACCATGAATCTTCTCAAAAACATCAAGAATCTTTTTGAGCATGAAGTACAGCTTTTCATTCATAGGCTTAGAATACCAATGTGTTATAAGTGTAAATTTTGAGTGTTAGATTTGTAAATATGTGAGATTTGGCCCCCTTAAATGATGTTTGGACAGTTTTATTTCATAATTTTATTAGAAAAAAAAGGTTTTATGATTCTGTTTAAAAGCTGTTATTATATTACATAATTGTTTGCTATGAGATCTAAATTTTCATGAACAAACTCTTAGCGTGCAATAGCTATAAAAAAGTTGTTATCCAAAATTATCAAAAATAAAATAAAAACAAAAATAATCCTCACTCCGAACTTTAAGAAAAATTAATTTGATCATAATAATCACACATCAACATACTATTACAAAGAAATTTAACCACCCAAAATAGACCTTACAGTATTTAAGAAAAAAGAAGTTAGGTATAGAGTGACTACACTTGTCTTCAAAAATAGCCACCATGTAACACTAATCTCTAAGCAAAATTCGAGACAATTTTTTGAGCAAGAAATATTTAAACATCGATTAATAGTCATCCAGAAATCCGACTACAACAAATTTATAGTGAAATTGACTAGCTCGACAAGACATACCCAATGGTATCAAAATTGGTCAAATCCGAACCAAATCAAGCTCAAATCAAGCTATTAAATCATGTTTGGAAGCTTTCTAAGCATATTTAGAAGAACAAACAGATGTCAAATTTAGTAGAATCAATGATAGTTAATTTAATTGATTTTTATTAATTTAATTATTTTTTTATTATTCAAGGATAATTACCTTAGAAGTGAAATTGCAATTTTCTGATATTTGTTTATTTTCTGTAATTATTTGAGCTAAAAAATAGGGATTTTCAAGGATAATTAATTTAATTGATCAAAATGTTTTATGTCCTTAGGAAAATTTTGAGGTGTTCCTAAGACTCAGAGGACCAACCAGGGTAATTTTCATGATTTTTGGAGATGTATTTTAATTTTTATGATTTTTCACTTGATTCTAGTGAATAAATAAATAAAAATGTATTTTTGTTTTGAAAAATATTAATTTTTTTTACTTCTTTGACTTCAGAGAACAGAGAGAACTTAATTTTATATTTTTCTGATTTTTATGTTATTTTTTCTGAATTATTTCAATTAAACAGAGATGAAATCTATGAAAAATTAGGGATTTTAATGCTACTGATGCTCTATAATTCTGGTAAAATCACCAAACCTCCCAAGGCTCATCAGGAATAAGCCCTGAAATATTCAAGCCATGATGTTCAAAATCTAATTTTTTTATGATTTAATTAAGTTCTGTGATGTTTAATTAATTTAAAATTAAATTTAAATTACTTGTTTTCAATTCTAAGTTCACTAGATTTCTCTCTGTCTACTAAGCACAACGGTATTTATTTTTTTAATTTTATGAACTTTCTATACTAAGATATGATTTTTTGAAATTCATGAATTTAATTAAATAAGAAAATCCCCAAATTTCATGCTAAATCTTGTGGCGCTCGCTCAACAAAGGCAAATCCGAAAGGCGGCGCCAAAAACACCACGGTAACACGGGAATAACATCAACGTACAAAACAAATAACACAACATAATTTGCTAAACTGCGCGACGTGTTAATGCGCCAAAAATACTAGAATGGATTAGTGTATTTACCATTCATAGCGGATTATTTCAACTGGGCGAGCTCTCGTGATTTTTTTTCTCTTTCAAGGGTTTTACACCTAAGAGAATTTTTTGGTGGTTTTGACCATCATTTCTATTTTCTTATTGTGTTTTGGGTCCTCATGCAACGTTGAGATGTTAGTTAATCACTATATCACCTTGAATTCTCTCGTAAGGATCAGTTAGTATTATAAATAATATTTATTTTATAAAATTCAGACTTATTTTATTACATATATCGATCACACTCTAAATATTTTATTTAAAAATATGCAACATAGAAACAAAAAAATACACAATCAGAGCTTACTCCCCAAACTAAAAAAACAAGAGGAAGATATACACATACCAATCAAAATTTTATGTATTTACATATCTAACACCTAAAGTTCATTTTTTAGGTCGCCTTACAAATGCAAGAAAAAAAAAATACTTTCTAAAAATTAAAATAGCGATATTTGTTAGGTATAAATAAAAAAAAGAAAAGAGAAAAGTGAAGTTTAGTAATTATGTATATAAATCCATAGGAGTCAGTAGGTTTGTATGTAAACACCCTCAAAATAAAACTACTAATTAAAAGTGGAATTAAGAAAATTAAATTGGTTACCTGTACAAGATCACCAATGTTAATAACAAGAGCTCCATGAATTGGGGGGACATCAACCCACTGATTCTCATAAAGAACTTCTAATCCACCAATACTATCTTGAAGAACAACAGTTAAGAAGTCAGGATCCGCATGTTTGCTTATCCCAATAGCCAGCTCTGGCTGAGGGCAGGGTGGATAATAGTGGCACAAAAGTGACAACCCTTCCCCGCAATCCAAATCATTCAAACGTTGAGTTTCCAACCCAAGTCCCTCTGATAGCAGCTCAAATAGAAGATGTCCTAACCTTTGGACGTGACTCCCGTATTCCATAATTATATCTCTGCATCCATAATGTATCATTGATTGGGTTTTTGTTAAGCTAAGTCTCAGATAAGGTTATAGTTATTTAGTTTTAAGAAAATATAATCTATTAGTGCTATAAGCTAAGAAAAGCTTAAGAAATCAATTGGTTAGGTTTACTTAAATTGTTTAATATAATTACATGAATTTTTATGCTGGGATTGACTTTCCTTTTTTCACAATTAAATTAGTCCCAACGTGGTAGCTTTAAAATAATATTTCTAGAGGTTATCATATTACAAAAGTTTCTAAAAATTTGATTTTTCTCAATATAGTTATAATTTCTCCAGTTACTTTAAAAAGATTATTGGGCATGTTTGATAGCATACTTATTATGGTATTTAGTCATGAATTTAATTTAAATTCAAGCAAACACAAAAAAAAATAATAATAAATCTAACACTCTGTTAAATAATTATTGAATTTTATCATGTTTTATCGTGTTGTGTCACATGTTCGATGTAAATCTGAAACTGGTAAATGTGAGCGGAAGACGTGGTTAAATCTAACAATTTAAGAATGCGTGCAGACCTGCAAATTTCCGGAATGTCATTCGGCTTGGCGGCGGCCTCCGGCTTGATTGTGCAGAAGAGAGTGTCCCTCCAATTGGCCACCTTAGATTGGTACAGATCGAAATTACTGTTAAAGAACACAGGACTTTTCTGATCGCGCACGTAATGTTTCATCTTTGCCTCCAACTCCTGCTCGTTAAATCTTCTGACGCCTTCCAGCATCTCGTCCAGCACAGCCGGAGGAATCCCGTGATTCACTACCTGGAAGAAACCAAATGTCTCCGACGCCATTCTCACGAGCTCCACCACTTTGTCCCGCCCCATCGAGCCTCCGTTGATTATGCCGAGATCGATGACCGGAATCTCTGCCTTGACAGCAGACGCCGGCTGAGGAACTTCTATAACACCAGGCGGGTGGCGGAAGAAATGAGGAATTTCGGTAATGCCGGCGTCCACGAGGCCTTTAACGCCAGCCTTGGTGTCGTCGAAGGCTTT